ACCGGGACTACAGGTGCGCACCACCATGCCCAGCAATTTTTTTTCTTTTTCTTTTTTTTTTTTTTTGGTAAGGACAGGGTCTCACTGTATTACCCAGGCCAATCTTGACATCCTGGGCTCAAGCTGTCCTTCTGTCTCGGCCCCCCAAAGTGCAGGGATCACAGGCGTAAGCCACCACACCCAGCCAGCCTGTGAACTTTTTTAGGGGAAATTTTTATAGCTACAGATTCATAGTCCTGTACCTGAAACCCTTGGGGCCAGATAGGATTCCGAATTCAGATTTTTTCATGGTTTAGAAAAAAGCCGCAGGGCACACACTGTATATTATGAAATACCCACCGCAGGATCTGGGGCAGCACCTGGTAAACACATAAATATTTTTAAGCAAAGTCCATGAATATTCACACACTAAGTGGTGTAAATAAAGGCTGTAAATAGCCTTGCATCAGTTGGGGGCCATTTTGTTGCCAGATAAGTTCACATCAGGTTAAGTTTTGCAGTCAAATGTTTTATCATGTGGTTTTCAGAAGTTCGAAGATTTTGAAATTGAGAATAAGGGATGGTGGGCCTGCAGTTTCTGGACAAGCCTTTGGCTCTGTGGGAGACAAATGCTGAGTAGTCTCCCATGCAGAGGGAAGTTTGCGGAAACTGGCTACCTCCTGGGAGTATGTGCTGCCCTGCCCACCAGGACAGACTCTCCTGACCACAGCTCGCAGAAGGTCCAGACGAGAACTCCTGACACCGAAGGCGCATCTTTGCTGTGTGGGTATTTTCCTGGGATCTCTACCTTTGCTTAGATTTTTTCACAAGAAACCTAATACTTAATGCTGGGTGCCATGGCTCATGCCTGTAATCTTAGCACTTTGGGAGGCCGAGGCTGGTGGATCACCTGAGGTCAGGAGTTTGAGACCAGCCTGACCAACATGGTGAAACCCCATATCTACAAAAAATACAAAAAAAAAAAAAAAAATTAGCAGGGCATGGTGGCACATGCCTGTAATCGCAGCTATTTGGGAGGCTGAGGTAGGAGAATCTCTTGTGCCTGGGAGGAAGAGGTTGCAGTGAGCCAAGATCGCCCCATTGCACTCCAGCCTAGGAAACAAGAGCGAAACTCCATCTCAAAAAAAAACAAAAACAAAGAAATCTAATACTTAAATACAGTCAGGAGCCCCAGCTAGAAGGCATCCTTAAGATCAAAGAATTGGGCCGGGCGTGGTGGTTCACACCTATAATCCTAGCACTTTGGGAGGCCGAGGTGGGTGGATCATGAGGTCAAGAGATCGAGATCATACTGGTCAACATGGTGAAACCCGGTCTCTACCGAAAATGCAAAAAAATTAGCTGGGCATGGTGGCGCGCGCCTGTAGTCCCAACTACTCGGGAGGCTGAGGCAGGAGAATTGCTTGAACCCGGGAGGCGGAGGTTGCAGTGAGCCGAGATCATGCCATTGCACTTCAGCCTGGGTAACAAGAGCAAAACTCTGTCTCAAAAAAAAAAAAAAAAAAAAAAGAAAAGAAAAAAAGATCAAAGAATTGCTTAGCTACAGCCCTCAGTTATAGACCTGAGTTTGTTTCTAAGGGACATGAGTCTCAAAGGAATAACGTTTCAGTGATTGGCAGGGGAGGGGAGTGAAAAGCAGCAGACATTGGAGATTGGGAATGTGGAGAAAGATGGGGCAAGAGAGGTTAGTGTGCATGTGAAGGGAGCCAAGAAGAGAATACACACAGGCTCCATGCAGGATTGAGCATGGGAGATTTATCCTAGCGTTGGGGGTTATGTCTTCTGTTTGGGAGCCTGCATTGAGCATCTACTATGTGCAAGGCACTGGGGATGCAAAGATGAATAAGACCTGCTCCCTGACAGTGGCGCCTGTTTATTATGGCTGCATTGCTCCTCTCTGAAGAGCTCTCTTTTCATTTCCTCACTCCCCTCTCCGCCCCACCTCCCCACAAAGAAAACACACACACAGCCAGGAGTGGCCTTGAGATTCAGGCCGCAGGCTCCAGACCTTTTGGGCTCTTTCCTCCACCCCCATCAAAGTGCCTGGGTCCAGGGGGAATCACATGAAGCCAGGAGTTTGAGACCAGCCTGGGCAACATTGTGAGACCCTGTCTCAACAAAAATTAAAAAATTAAGCGGGTATGGAGCTAACATGCCTGTAGTCCCAGCTACTTAGGAGGCTGAGGCAGGAGGATGGCTTGAGCCCAGGAGGTTGAGGCTGCAGTGAGCTCTGATCATGCCACTACATTCCAGTGTGGGTGACAGAGTAAGAGCCTGTCTCTTTTTTTTTTTTTAAGACATATTTTCTGGCCGGATGTGGTGGCTCACTCCTGTAATCCAAGCACTTTGGAGGCCAAGGCGGGCAGATCACCTGAGGTCGGGAGTTCAAGACCAGCCTGACCAACATGGTTAAACCCCGTCTTTAAAAAAAAGAAGAATTAAAAAAATAATAAATAAATAAATAAATAAATAAATAAGACAGATTTTCCCTCTGTCGCCCAGGCTGGAGTGCAGAGGCACAATCTTGGTTTACTACAACCTCCAACTTCCAGGTTTAAGCAATTCTCCTGCCTCAGTCTCCCAAGTAGCTGGGATTACAGGCACGCGCCACCACGCCTGGCTAATTTTTGTATTTTTAGTAGAGACAGGGTTTCACCATGTTGGCCAGGATGGCCTCGAACTCCCAATCTCAGGTGATTCACCCGCCTTAGCCTCCCAAAGTGCTGGGATTACAGACATAAGCCACTGCACCTAGCTGACCCTGTCTCTTAAAAAAAAAAAAAAAAAAAAGACTGGGTCCTACGTCTCATGTTGACGAAGCCCCGTGCAAAGGAAGGAATGTGTTCTGTGCTGACAGTAATGTATAGTTCATCAGGTGCTAATGTTGATTAGAGGCATGGAGTAGTGTCACTGGAGTCTAGTTCCTCCCCATTATTTATTTAGCTGTGTGGCCTGGGGAGAGTCTCCTGCCCTAAGCCTTAGTTTCCTCATCTGTAGAATGAACTTAAGTCTCTACTCCATAACTCACAAGGGTGTTATGAGGATCAAAGGGAAGAATATGGAGGGAGACATAAATGGTAAGGCTTGTCCAGGTCTGAGCTGTGCTTGTGATGTGTTTACTGTATTCCCACTCAAAAAGGGAGGCTTCATTCTGCACTTTAGGTGGCAGCACCTCAGGGATTGTACAGCTAGGCTCCCAGGGGTCCTATAGGGCTGTATGCCCTCATAGGTGACTCAGGAACAGAGTCTCTGCACCCCAAATGTGGTTTCATTCTCTAGTTGCAAAGATTCTTTGGAAAATAATAGTTGTTCATCGATGTTCATTGCAGTGATGTTTATAATAGGCCAAGAAAATTTATTTTTCACTACCATCCCCAAGCCCAGGGAAAGAGAAGTGCCCCAGAAATGGATAAAGACTCACAGACCCCACTTCCCATCCTCCTCAATGCCTCCTTTTGTGGTACTGAGGCAGACCTTTTCCCTAGCATGTAAGGACTAAATAAGGAGCTGCAGCAAGAGCCATGTATAGCCTAGAACCTGAGAGACTTTTTGTTTTTTGTTTTGAGACAGAGTTTTACTCTTGTTGCCCAGGCTGGAATGCAATGGCTCGATCTCGGCTCACCACAACCCCGGCTCACTGCAACCCCCACCCTCCTGGGTTCAAGTGATTCTCCTGCCTCAGCCTCCCAAGCAGCTGGGATTACAGGCATGCACTGCCAAGCCCGGTGAATTTTGTATTTTTAGTAAAAACTGGGTTTCTCCATGTTGGTCAAGCTGGTCTCGAACTCCCGACCTCAGGTGATCTGCCCGCCTCATGACTCCCTGCTGGGATTACAGACCTGAGCCACCTCGCCCGACCAAAACAGAGTTTAGAAAGGTCTTCAATATGAGTAACAGTTCCATTTCCTGGAATGTTTCCGTACAAAAAGATGGAAGGATGAGATCGTTCATCATCACAGCATTATTTCTAAGTGCAGTAAGTTGGAAACAACCATAATAGTGTTCATCCACTGAGGCACGCAGGAATAACCATGGCGTATGCATGCAATTGGCTTCTCTGCAGCCATGAATAATGCATTTCCTACATGATGTTCCACAGACTCAAGCCCCAAGAGGATCCCTCAAGGGATTTTGTGGTGAAATGCGTTTAAGAAGTGCCAGTCTCTGCTTGATGATTCAGAACACACATTAGTAAATTAGAGACTCCAAGAAGTCCTTCAGCAAAGAAGCCCATTTAAATTGGCGTAAGCCTGTGCGTCTCAAACAGTCGGTGGAAGACTCCCAATTAATAGCAAAATGGTCCTAGTGTTCAGTCGAGCCTATTTGGGAAATACCTGTGTAGGAGACGCAAGTGGAAAGAGCAGAGTGAAAAATGCAGAGTTTGAGAGTCTTTGCAGCATGATTTAAATAAACAAACTTATGCAGATTTGTATTTGGAAAATGTCTAGCAGGACGCATGCCAGAACTTTAACAGTGGTTGAGGCCGTGGGATTATAGGTCATTTTTCTTTTCTTTTTTTTTTTTTTTTTTTGAGACAGAGTTTCACTCTTGTTACCCAGGCTGGAGTGCAATGGCGCGATCTCGGCTCACCGCAACCTCCGCCTCCTGGGTTCAGGCAATTCTCCTGCCTCAGCCTCCTGAGTAGCTGGGATTACAGGCACGCGCCACCATGCCCAGCTAATTTTTGTATTTTTAGTAGAGACGGGGTTTCACCATGTTGACCAGGATGGTCTTGATCTCTTGACCTCGTGATCCACCCGCCTCGGCCTCCCAAAGTGCTGGGATTACAGGCTTGAGCCACCGCGCCCGGCAGGTCATTTTTATTTTCTTCTTTGTTTTTATCTTTTAGGTTATTTGGGTTTTCTAAATTGCCTTCCATCGCCATATGTGATATATTTTTTTAAGAGATGGGGTCTCGGCTGGGCATGGTGGCTCACGCCTGTAATCTCAGCACTTTGGGAGGCCAAGATGGGTGGATCATGAGGTCAGAAGTTCAAGACCAACCTGGCCAACATTTTGAAACCCCATCTCTACTAAAAATAGAAAATCAGCCGGGCATGGTGGTGTGTATCTGTAATCCCAGCTACTCTGGAGGCTGAGGCAGGAGAATCGCTTGAACCCAGGAGGTACAGGCTGCAGTGGACCAAGATCTCTTCAGTGTACTCCAGCCTGGGTGACAGAGTGAAACTCCATGTTTGAAAAAAAAAAAAAAAAATTGAGAGCTTGGGGGGCGTTGACAGAAAAAAAAAATTGGCTAGGTGTGGTGACAACGCACCTATAATCCCAGCTACTCAGGAGACTGAGACAGGAGAATCACTTTAACTTGGGATGTGGAGGTTGTGGTGAGCGGAGATTGCGCCATCGCACTCCAGACTGGGTGACAGAGTGAGGCTCCATCTCAAAAAAAAAAAAAAAAGGAGATGGGGTCTCACCTTGTTGACCATGCTGGAGTTCAGTGGCTATTCACAGGCACAATCATAGCACCATTACAACCTGGAACTCTTGAACTCAAGTAATCTTCCTGCCCTAGCCTCCCAAGTAGCTGGGATTACAGGCACGTGCCACCATGCCCGGTTCTATATAACTTTTATAATTAGTAAAAAAAGGAAAAAGAAAAAGCCAGTTGTCAAGAAAAGGATCCAGGAATAGCTAAAGACACTTTCACAGTGCTGCTGCACCTAGAGGAGCTGGGGCCTCCAGCTCCAAGAAGAAGCCAGGTCCTTATTTAGGCAGAGACATCCCGAGAGCTCATATTCCAGTGGGAATCCTTCCCAGAGCATTCCTCCTCCAGCACCGCTGCGGCCAGCTGCAGCCTGGCTGCTCCCTCGCAGGGCCTCCCTCTCCTTTGGTAGCAGCCGGTGGTGGCCCAGGCCAGGCTGCACATCTGGACCTCATTAGGAACCGCCACACCAAAGCCGGCACATCTGGCCACTGCGAGACAGAGCACGCGGCAGGGCAGCAAAGGGGAAGGGGCATGTCAGGACAGGGCTGCCCATGCAGGCTCCGAGGCAGCCAGGGCTCCTCTGAGACATCTGGAAGTGGGAAGGTGGTGGGCGGCTGGCCGCAGACGGTGCGCTGCTTGCTGGCTGGGCTGGCTCTGGCTCCTCTGGGTGCAGCAGAGTTGTGCCCTGGCTGGCAGAGGCCTTTCAGGCTGAAGGGGGCAGGTCTGGCAGAGAGATAGGTACTCAGGACTCCAAGCACAGCGCTCTTGCTCTTGGGGAGGTCTGGGGCTGAGGGCAGGTCTGGCAGAGAGATAGGTACTCAGGACTCCAAGCACAGTGCTCTTGCTCTTGGGGAGGTCTGGGGCTGGGGGCAGTCTCAGGACATGTTGCAAAGAAGGACTAGACAGGAGTGGGGTCGCCCAGCCTTATGGTGCCAGAGCCTTGCGGCTGCGGGTCACAAGGCAGGATTTCTATGTCGGAAGGAGAATTCCCTAGTCTGAAGTCAGAGGGGAGGAAGAGAAATGAGCCACCTTGGAAACAGAGCTTGCCTGCTGCCTGCTTCCTTTTCCCTGCATGGGGGCATGCACAGGTTCCTGGCTCTACCCCACTGGCGCCATTATTTTTCTCTTTGGTGCCTGTGAATCTAAGGCTCTATCAGCCCTGCCAGTTCTTTCTTTGCTACGGCAGCAGATGCTCCTAAGATCCTTTCCAAAGTCAGGCAGAGATCAAAGAAACCGACTAGTCGATCGAATGTAAGAACCTACCACCCCTTCCCCTTTATCCTGCAGCCTTAGACCTTAAGTTGGTCCCACATAAATCGTACCCACCAGATTCTCCTGCCTCTGTTCTCCATCTCCAGCCCCTGCCCACCATAGCAAGGGATCCACGTGCCCATACTAGTGCCCTCTGAAGAGGCCACATTAAGAAAATTCTCAGATCTAGTGGGTGCCAGCCACTAAGGTAGAAGCCAAGGAACTATTGCAGAAAGTATAAGGGCTTCACAGTAAACAGATGGTTCCAAACCCCAGCTACTTAACTTCTTTGAACGCCACTTTCCTCATCAATAAGATGAGGATAATACCTCTTACAGAAAGAACTATTTTAGGTTTGGTAATAAAAATGCAATAGAGTTCAGCCAGGCATGGTGGCTCACGCCTGTAATCCCAGCACTTTGGGAGGCGGAGGCAGGCAGATCACCTGAGACCGGGAGTTTGAGACCAGCTTGGCCAACATGGCGAAACCCTGTCTCTACTAAAAATACAAAAGTTAGCCGGGGATGGTGGTGGGTGCCTGTAATCCCAGTTACTAGAAAGGCTGAAGCAGGAGAATTGCTTGGACCCGGGAGGCAGAGGCCGAGATCACGCCAGCCTGGGTGACAGAGAGAGACTCTGTCTCAAAAAAAAAAAAAAAAAAAAAAAAAAAAAAAACCAAAGAAATATAATACAGTTATATGTTTCTCCAATAGAAATGTAACGTAATTATATATGTAACTTGGGGTGGCTATTTTACTCTTTTAATTCTAGAATAATTTTAGATTTATAGAAAAGCTACAAAGATCGCCGGGCGCGGTGGCTCAAGCCTGTAATCCCAGCACTGTGGGAGGCCGAGGCGGGTGGATCACGAGGTCAAGAGATCGAGACCATCCTGGTCAACATGGTGAAACCCCGTCTCTACTAAAAATACAAAAAATCAGCTGGGCATGGTGGCACGTGCCTGTAATCCCAGCTACTCAGGAAGCTGAGGCAGGAGAATTGCCTGAACCCAGGAGGCGGAGGTTGCGGTGAGCCAAGATCGCGCCATTGCACTCCAGCCTGGGTAACAAGAGTCAAACTCCGTCTCAAAAAAAAAAAAAAGAAAAGCTACAAAGATAGTACAGTGGGTTCCAGTGAAGCCTTCCCCTGCTTCTCCTAAGGTTGACGTCTTGCATAACCAAGGTACATTTGCGAAAATTGAGAAATTAACATTGGCACAATACTCTTAATTAATCTACAGACATTTTTCAGATTTCACCAGATTTTCCACACATATGTGATTTAAATTTTTCTATTAGGCACACTTTAAAGAGAAACAAATAATATCAATTTTAATAATATACTTTATTTAACCAAATATATCCAAAATATTGTAACATCAGCACTAATCAATATAACAAACATAATGAGTGAGGTATTTCACTCCCTTTTTTTTTCTTTTTTTGAGACAGAGTTTTGCTCTTGTTGCCCAGAGTGGAGTACAATGGTGCAGACTGCAGCCTCTGCCTCCCGAGTTCAAACAATTCTCCTGCCTCAGCCTCCCAAATAGCTGGGATTACAGGTGCCCCCCACCATGCCTGTCTAATTTTTATATTTTTAGTAGAGACAGGGTTTCACCATGTTGGCCAGGCTGGTCTTGAACACCTGACCTCAGGTAATCTGCCTGCCTCAGCCTCCCGAAGCGCTGGGATTACAGGCGTGAGCCGCTGTGCCTGGCCCACATTCTCTTTTTTAATGGTAAGTCTCCTAAACCTCTGTGGATTTTAAGCTTACAGCACATCCCAATTTGGACCCTTCATTTTCCCTGGACATACTTGATTGGCAGTTAGGCATTCACAATATGTAGATTGGAAACAGTAGACTCACATACCCAAGTAGTTCCAAACATACTTAAAAGTTTTCTGGCCAGGCGCGGTGGCTCATGCCTGTAATCCTAGCACTTTGGGAGGCCGAGGCGGGAGGATCACCTGAGGTCAGGAGTTCGTGACCAGCCTGACCAACATAGTGAAACCCCGTCTCAAAAAAAAAAAATTAAATTAAATTAAAAAAAAAAGTTTTCTGATAATGGAATTGTCAGTTTTTAAATTTAAAATAAAATGTAAAATATGCATTTCCTCAGTTGTACTAGTGCCTGATAGTCACATATGGCTAGTGGCTACCATGTTGGACAGCCCAGGCTTAGAGGATTGAATTAGTTGAGGTATGGGGAACAGTGACTAGCGCATGGCAGGTGTTGGATAGATGGTGTCTATTGTTACTGAAACCTAGAGTTGCTTCTGATGAAATCCAATTTCTAACCCTGATCTTTCATGCTCATCCACTGCCAGGTGTAATGGAAGGACACAGAGAAAGATCTTGGTCAGGGAAGAGAAAGAATGGAGGAGGGATCTGGGCACGGTGGCTTACGCCTGTAATCCCAGCACTTTGGGAGGCCAAGGGAGGTGGATCACCTGAGGTCAGGAGTTTGAGACCAGCCTGACCAACATGGAGAAATCCTGTCTCTGGAGGTGCATGCCTGTAATCCCAGCTACTTGGGAGGCTGAGGCAGGAGAATCACTTGAGCCCGGGAGGGGGAGGTTACAGTGAGCCAAGATTGTGCCATTGCACTCCAGCCTGGGCAACAAGAACAAAACTTCGTTCAAAAAAAAAAAAAAATTGAAGACGGATGAAATGAAGGGAACTCATACTTCTGTAGCCCCCTCGTGGGCTGGGTTCCCGCTCAGAAGCACCTTCAATCTTCTCCATTCAGTGCTCCTGACTGTCTTTCTTCAGGGCAGGCACTGTTAGCCCTGTGCACAGATAAAAAATCGGGGCTTTGAGAGTTGAAGCAATGGGAAGGCAGGCAGCTTTGTGTTCCCACCCAGCCACTCCTGGTCTCATTCTGAGGTATGTATTCTCATCCCCTCTTGGGGCCTCAGTTTCCCTCAAGGGGTTAGGTAAATGTGAGGTTGGTTTGGATTACTGGATCTGTCTCTGAAATTTTAGGATTATTCAAACAGGGGACACTTGGCTGGCCCTCACCTTGCAAAATTCACCCAATGCTGATTTGTAAATAGGTAAACAGATGAGAGCAACAGAGACAGAGTGCTCACAGGCACTGGTTTTTCGATTCACAGTGGGGGGTGGGGGCTGCCATGTAGTTTGCAATATTTGTGGGCACAGCAGGTTGGGACACCCTCTTCCAGTCTTGAGGTGCCTAGGAAACCTAATTAATTATGGAATAATGGAGCGCAGCTTGTGCTAATATAGAATCAGGGCTGAGGGAGTTAGGTGTCTCGGGGGATATTTATAACAAGCTGTGGCAGTCTGGTGAGTCACTGCTCTGCTCTCCAAGAGGACACACCTGCCTCCGAGAAGAGGAGGCCACCACTCTCCAGTCAGGCCCCTCTTCCCGGGCAGGGCTGGAGACACACACACTGTTGGGCAATCCTCTCCACTTCTTTGGCTCCCTTGGGACACTGATCATTACACCCCATCCCTCCTCCATTTCAGCAGAATTTCCCAGCAACCTCCCACT